TTTAAAGTGCTGAAGAGCAGAGATGTCACTTTGAAGACTAAGGTGGGCCTAACCCAAGCTATAGTATTTGCAATTGCCTCATATATATGTGAAAGTTGTACAATGAAGACGACTTGATGCTTTTGAATTGTGGTGATGGTGAAGAATACTGAAAATGGCATGGACTACCAGAAGAATGAACAAATCTGTCTTGGAAGAAGTGCAGCAGGAATTTTCCTTGGAAGTGAGAATGGCCAGACTTTGTTTCACCTACATTGGTCAAGTTGGAGAAAGATACCATGTTTAGTAAAGCAGAGGGTCAGCTAAAAAGGGGGAGAACCTCAACAAGACGTATTGACAGAATGTCTCCAGTGGTGGACTCAATTATAGCAAGAACTGTGAGGACAGCACAGGTGGTTTGTTCTGTTGTACATGGGGCCACTATGAGTCAGAGTCAACTCAACAGCACCTAGCAACAACAGCAACATCTTACGTAATACAACATCCTTATGGAGAGAGCTTATTAATGGTACATTGTTTATAAAAAAGAAACATAATTGAAAAAAAAAAGTTTAAATAATTTGATTAAATGAAGCCAGACCTTTTCTGCACTTCTTATAAGACAGATTTGTTCACTCTGTTCATGGCAGACCATTGTATATTCACTATCCTTTGTCAACACCATAATTCAAATGCATTGATTCTTCCTTAGTTTTCCTTATTCATTGCCCAGATTTCACATGCATGTGAGATGATTGCAAATCCCATGGCTTGGGTCAGCTGCACCTTAGTCTTCAAGATTAAATCTTTGCTCTTTAATGCTTTAAAGAGATACAGACAGAATGGCCCTTAGAAAGATGGCAAATCTTCACCTCTCACACTTTGGCTATGTTATGAGAAGGGGCCATTTCCTGGAGAAGCATATCATGCCTGGTAAAGTAGAGGATCAGCGGACAAAAGGAAGACACTCAACGGGATGGCTAGACACAGTGGCTGCAACGATGGGCTCAAGCATAGCAATCATTGTAAGGATGGCACAGAACCAGGCAGTGTTTCTTTCTGTTGTCATAAGGTCACTATGAGTCAGAACAACCTCAATGCCACCTAACAATAAGAAGGCCTTTCCTATTAACTAAAATAATACCATGTGACTAAAACTAATTTTTAAATAAACAAATGTTTGCATCTTTCACAGAAGTTGCTAATGCATCATCCATAAATACATCCCATATTAAAAATACACCTCTTATCTTAATGTTATCTGTGCCTGTGCCTTTGGACAGATTGATGTATTTCACAGTGTCATATGTGAATATGTGAACATTTCTTAAGTCACTATCTACTGATTATATTAGTTGCTGTCAAGTTCATTCTGACTCATGATGACACCATGTGTACAAGGTAGAACTGTTCCTAAGGTTTGTCAAGGTCGTGATCTCTTGGAAGAAGATCACAAGACCTGATTTCTAAGACAGCTTTGCATGGGTTTGATCCACCAGTCTTTTGATTAGTAGTCCAGAGCTTAACGTTCATGCTAACCAGGGACTCTGAACCACTGCCCTTGGTGGTTTTTTTTTTTTTTTTTTTTTAAATAATATTAACTCAGCAGGATAGTCCAGATTTGTTAGTAATTCTCATGTGGTGAGATTTTGGATGCATTCTTTAAAATAATGTAGAAAGATATATGGAAAATATATATAAGTCTTCAATGATACTATAGATTAAGGACTGAATATATGATCAGTAGAGAAGATGTGATATAATAAACATGATGTGGTAGTTAAGTTTTTTGTCAACTTGGCTGGGCCTGGTTTTGAGTTTATGGGAAGGCAAATTTGAGTAACATCTCTTACTTTTTGTCACACTTGGACTCTGCGTGGAGCTGAGTCTTCATTTTAACAGCCTGTCGTGTTGTCTGCCAATCTTAGGACTCTTTCTAGAGTTGAACTAGTGGCTTGCCATATTGCTTTGTAATCTTGAGACTGTGCCATTTAACTTGTTGACCTTGAATTTGTCAGCTTCCACAGCCATTAGCTGCCTGAGCTATGTAAGAGACATCTCCAGGTTCAGTGGGCCAGGAGCAAGAGGCAGAGTTGAAGCTCAAGGTTGAGGGACTTTGACCCAGTTCCTAGAGTTGGCACTTTGAACATGGACATCCAGCTTCCTAAACTGTAAGAGAATAAATCCCTTTTGTTAAAGCCACCTATTTGTGCTTTTGTTAGAATTTGGTACTGAGAGAGTGGGGTGCTGCTCTGACAGATATTTAAAATGTGGAAATATGAGCATAGTACCTTCTCAACCTGAGATTCCTGTGCTGAAACCCTGGCAGAAAAACCCCAGCAGAGAGAGCAACAGCAGCAGTGCTGAGAGCAGGGGAGCCCAGAGACGAGAATGAGACAGTTTCAGGCTTACCAGTCCACAGGCCAAGAAAGCTGAATGCCTTTCAGGCAGGACGATTCCTGGTAGAGTGGGTTGACTTCAGGCATTAATTGGCAGAAGCTTAGAGACCAAGGAAATGGGAAGCAGCTTCCTCAGCCTTAAAGGGGAGGGCACAATTTCTGGGAGTGGAACAACCACAGCCTCCTAGGCTTCAGAGTCAGACTTTCATTAACTTGGTTATAGATTGTGGGTCTGATGTTCATGAGGGTCAGTGAGATGAAGCCTTATTTGCTTCCCAAAAGTGAGAGGGCAAAGCTGTCATGCCTGAGAGGCAGAGGAACACGGTCTTCCAGGCCAATGGTGCGAGGTTGTTACTCAGATGAGCCACCCAGTGAAGGAGATTCGTAAAGAACCCAAGTTGACTAGGGGTGGAATTGTGGTAGTTGTGTGTCACCTGGGCTGGACCTGGTTTTGAGTGGCTCAGCAGGTGGATGTATTTATTCCCCATGACAAGGCTGGTAATCAAGTCCATGGTGGAATGTACTGGAGTAGCTGAGTAGCTGCCTTAGGGATGTGGCCTGCTTCCAGTATATAAGAAGACAACTTTGAGAAAGGTCTCTAGCTTCTTGACACGCTTGGACCCTGCGTGTAGGCGAGTCCTCATCTCAATGGCCTGCCATGATGTCTGTGGATCTTGAGACTGTTTCTGGTCTTGAACTAGTGCCCTGCAGGCTTGCATGATAATCTTGCCCCTGTGCCATTTTACTTGTCAACCTTTGATTTGTCAGCCTCAGCATTCAGCAGCTGTCTGAAATAAGTAAGAGATGCGTCCTGCTTCAGTGGCTAGAAGTAAGAGGCAGAGCTGGAGCCCAGAGTGTTCACCCAGCCCCTAGTGCTGGCAATTTAAACTCAGACTTCTCGACTCCTAAACTGTAAGAGAATAAGTCCCTGTTGTTAAAGCCATAAATTTGTGGTATTTTCTGTTAGGGCAGCACTAGGGGACGAAAACACATGGTCTTTGGGTTCTAAGAGTCCAGAGTTTCAATCCTAACCCCTTGTCTTACTAGTTGTATAGCTTTGGAAAATGTCATCAACAATTTGAGATACAGTTTATCCATCTGTAAAAATATAAAGGACAGTAATAGTAATTTACTTCATAAGGTAAACCTTACATTAAATAAGATTGAACAAATTCTTATATTCGACTTTTTTATTTAGCTTATTATTTATTTATTTATTTGTTGTTGTTGTTATGTGCCATTGAGTAGGCCCCAACTCATAGTGACCATTCCTTGGGTGCCCAAGGTGGTATCACTATGGTAGTAGATTGCAAAACCTCCTTCCAAGGGTGGTTGGTGGGTTTGAATCACCAGCCTTCTGGTTAGCAGTCAAGTGCCTTAGGTGCTACACTACCAGAGCCCCTTTATTATTTATAATGTTTAACAAATGACAGGGATGTAGATGATAAATCAGGTGGTCAAAACCTCAGAAAGGAATTTTTTAAAGACACATTTTTAAACCAACATTCTCTTTAATACTGCCAGAAGAAGTTATTCTTTAATATAATTTTGCTTATTCACTCCTTTCTTATTACCAGAAAGTAATTTCAGGATGTAGTCTAGCTTTCCTTAATCAGTTTCTTACTTGTACTGCCTTAAATCTGTTATTCTAATTTTCATGTGTGAAAAGCTCTATTGACTTCATTCTCCTTACAATTCATCATTCTTCTTCCCTGGACAAAACTTCCACATCCCAGCAGGAATCATTTTGAGAAAGTAATTTAAATATGTAGATTATTCTGCTTAATAATATTTTAGTTCTATGGCATAACATAGAAAACTGTTATTGTATTCAGTGAAAACACATCATTATTGATGAAGATTGGTTCTATTAACTAACCCAGGTGTGTTGGTTAGGTCTTTCTTCTAGAAAGGTTCTATCTCCAAAATAATTCATTCCTATAAAGTAGAATCCAACTCCTAGTGATCCTGTAGCACAGAGTAGCACTGCCCCGTGGGGTTCCAAGGCTGTAATTTTCACAGCAGCAGACACCCTCCAATGTACTCCATTCTATGGAGGGGCTGGTGGATTCAAACAGTCACTCTGTTGGTCAGCAGCTGAGTGCTTAACCACTGAGCCACTATATTGCCAGGGCTCCTAGAAAGGCCTTACACTTGATATAACATATCAGTTAAATAGTTGGCCTGATTTTGGTGGGTGAGTTTAGGGAAAAAAAACCTTGATCTAGAGCAATGATCATGCTCTGTCAGCTGATTATTGATGCATTCATTATCTTTACTCATCCTTTTACCATAATTTCATTGACATAACAGCCTTAGAGTTCCCAGTAATAGAGGTTTTGTTTTTTTTTTTTTTTTGATTGCACATGAAGACTGAGTTCTTAAAAATTTAAATACTATTTACTGTTGTTGTTTGTTGTTAAGTGCCATCGAGTCGTTTCCGACTCATAGAGACCCCATGCACAACAGAACGAAACACTGCCCGATCCCGCGCCAGCCCCACAATCCCTGCTATACTTGATCCCATCATCGCAGCCACCGTATCAATCCAACTATTTACTGTAGAAATAGTAATTGACTAGATTTTGTAATTATCTTTTACCTTTTTTATGTTTTCTACAGGTAACCCATTATTAACCAGCAAAGTCAATGTACTCATTAATGTTCTAGATGTCAATGAATTCCCCCCAGAAATATCTGTTCCGTATGAGACAGCTGTGTGTGAAAATGCCAAACCAGGACAGGTAGGTACTGGAATTATTAAGTGATGATGTGTAAAGTGCATGTGTTTTAGGTTATATATCCGTACATGAATACACACACACATACACACACATGTATTTTTCTGGATCTGCCGTCTCCATAAAAGATACCACAAGGAATATTAAGCTTGTACAAATCAGTAGTGGAATGTATGGATGTTGAAGTAATACCACAGGGAATAAAGACTCAGTGGCATCAGGCACATTCAGCTAAACGGAGTACAATTACAGATTGTGATACAATTGTCCAGTCCCTTACCATGGAATTCCTAAAGAACATGTCACTATACACAATAAGCAAATGAAAAGTGCATTGTCCCAGAGTTATCTCTTGCTCTGATCATGTGCTATCTTTAAGAAATGGAAAAAAAAAACAAATCTGAAACTTACTAATATGTAAAGCCTTCCTACTCTGTGGTCCCAAGGAGAACATCAACATTATGCAAAATATCTTGAGTACATTTTCTATATGAGATGAATATTGCTGCTGGTGGAGGTTCTGGCAGGTAGAAGTTATATGGGAAGACTCTATAGTTAAAATAAGTTATTGTCAAGGTCCTAGGTGGGTAGCAATTTTTCCTCTACCCTATCATAAATGAATGGATGAACAAATAGTATAAAAAGAATCAGGAATGGGCAAATAATGAGACTGTGTCATGAAACAAGATTATGACTAGTCTTATGACTAGTCCTAAAATCCAAAGGCAATGTATATCACTATATTTTGGTTTGCTATATATTTCAATCACCTTTAAAATAGCATAATTTCTCACTTAAGAAAATTTGAAAATTTTAATTCTTACGTGAAGAATGTTAATATTTGAAATATATTTTTATTGAAAAAAAAAATAACTCTTCAGTCTTCAGTTTGTCAGTTTCAATGTTTCACATTGCTTAGTAGAACATTTGCTCCATAACAGTAATCACATTATGTCCACTAGTCACATAGAGTTATTGCAGTTATGTGAAGGTTAAAATTAAACACCAATTTTCTCATTTACACATATTAAGTGCATTTATCAGTTAGGATAAAGAATATTTCCAAGAACACAGACATGTCTATTGGACTGTGCTGATCTAAAACTCACACGAATGATTGAGTTCTTTTCCCAAGTGAGAAGTGCTGCACATTTTGTTTTGAATAGACACAGAAATGCACTTAAAGTTTTAACCTTTACCACCTTCTCTATTCCCCTCATTTACAGGGAGGAGCCTAGTGCCTATTTCAATGTCTGAAACACTACATGCTTCATAAAAGATTGTGCACAAACAAATAACATTATTTGATAAGGGTTTTGGTTACTTAGTGCCACTCTGACAGGAATATAGCACAAATGGGATGACTTTAACACACAGGAGTTTATTCTCCTACAGTTTGGAGGCTTTAAGTTCGAGTTCAAAGTGCCAGGCGCTAGGGGCTGGGTGAAAGCCTCTTAACCTATCTTGTACTTCAGCTCTGCCTCCTGCTTCTGGCTCATTGAAGCTGAGGCTTTTCTTCACTTAGACAGCTGTTGGCTGCTGAGGCTGACAGACCCAAGGTGGACAAGTACAGAGGCGCTGTGCCAATGTTACCAAACCCCACAGCAGGCCATTAATTCAAGTCTCTTTAAAGTCCCGAGGTTGACAGAGCATGGCAAGCTATTGAACACAACTCAGCTACATGCAGGGTCCATGTGTGCCATAAGCTATAGACCATTCCCAAAGCTTTTTCTTATACACGGGAAGCAGACCACATACCCAAAACAGCTACTCAGCTGCTCTAATAGATTACACCATGGGGTCAATTACTAATCTCACCACAGGGAAAAACTGTATCCAGCTGCCCAGCCACTCAACCAGGCCGAGCCAAGTTGACATAAAACCTTAACTCCCACAAAAAGTTAGAACAGTTTTACTGAAATTCTGCAGCTTAAGCATTTCCCATATTCTATACCAAAACAAACAAACAAACAACAAAAGGCCAATCTTGATTATTAGGTGTTTAGGGAATTAATGATTTCAGCTCAATCAGAATTATGTAGTGTGTTAATTAAAGGGTTTTTGGTAATAGAGCTCTACTTAATGCTTGTGTGTTTTTCTAGTAAATCAAAGGACTTAAAAAGTTGGGAATAGTAGACAGTACTATAGCTCTACTTGATTTTCCTGTATCTGTGAAAAGTGGTGAGGAGTATGTTGGATTTGGAAGCTTTTACTGTAATATCTGTTCAGGTTTTTGTTACTAGATATATTTACATTAATATGGCTCTGTTTGAGTCGGGGCAGACTCGATGGCACATAACAGCAACAACAACATAGGAAAAAATGTCTCATGAGTTTTTTTCAGTGCATGTGATTTATAAGCATTTTCTGTTTCAGATCCTAGACATTTTTCCCCTGATCTAGGAACTGTGCAGAGAAACTCTCTCTCTCTGTTGGACTATATTTGAGTATTTATCTTCCATCTATCTACCTGTCTATCTATCTATCAATCATCTGTCTATCTATTATCAAGAAAGATTTTTAAAAAGATAAATATAATAATATATGAATGAATAAAAATTCACATGGGAGTTGTTTCATCATAGAGTAGTGACTCCCAAGTGATAGTCCCAGATATTTGCCATTCTATAACAAAATTTTCATTTATGCATACTGCTTGCAAGGACTTGCCTTCATTCTGAAATTATGTCCTTCATACTATTGATGTTAAATACCTTTAGTTTAATAAGTAATTATGTTAGAAGATGATAGTTAAAAACAAACAAACAAAACCACCAAAAAACAAATATACCTTGACAATCAAGTATTACAGAAATTGTACTGGTGAAATACAGTGATCTGAGGGCATGTCTCTGTGAAGAACAGCTGAATCTGGTTGCAGTTGACAAATTCCATTACCTGCTTTTGGTGCTGAATGATGAAAGTCTTACCTATGACAACTCATAAGAGTGAATGGGCCCTGGGAACATATTCACAGTAGTACAAGGAACTGAGATTGACAGCAAGGGGCCAATTTGTTAAATTACATGTTACTAATACATCACTTGAACACTCAAAGTGTTGGGCTATGTGTACTTTTTGAAATGTTTTTCTTCTTTAAATGCAGCTATATGGGATGGTAGATCTTAGACATAAGATTACATTTAACCATGAAATCAGCACATAAAAGCAGTAAGTGAGTGACGTATTTAATGGCATCAATGGAAGGTAGTTTGATGCACACTTTATACACAGGGTCCAGAATACATTATTTGGAATCCAAAGTCTTCTGGTAAATTCTCCAAATTATATTGAAGGGCACCGTATTGAAACATTAGATATACAACTGATGAGAACAGTTTAGGAAGAAACTTGGAACAGGGTTGAAAATACTTACCCTTTTAAAAGGTATATAACAATGAATTTTTCCCCTCCCCAGTATGTGGTAACAAACATAACAAAAACAGATACACATCCTCTGTTTTTCTATTATCATTTATTTTTTATGAAAATAAGACTGATTCTCACATATAAACTTGCACTAAATTTTGCTATCGCAAGGGCTTTTGAATAATCAGAGATTTTGTTTTCAGTAAGCATTTTCCTACTTAGGCTAAGAAAGCATTTATTTCATCTCATTTAAAATGCAAGAACATTTTAATTTTATTTTGCTTATCAGAGAAGTTTTTCAGTGCTGTTAAGGTTTCTATTTAGGCAGATATTGAATCAAAATTAGCCCCTTCCTTGCAATCTTACCTGTCACTTTCACATTTAAATGTTTAGAGGTTTGTTTATAAAATGTGTTTCTAAATAATTGGTCCACTAACATTGGTAGTAAAAGTATCATTTCTATTTGTATAAGTCATTAAATAAATGTATTACTCTGACGTGTCAAGTTCCCTTTGAAACTGATGACTGACTTCAAGTTTAATGTCAACTTTGTTTCAGATAATTCAGGTAGTCAGTGCTGCAGACCGAGATCTGTCACCTGCTGGGCAGCAACTGTCCTTCAAATTATCACCTGAGGCTGCCATTAAACCAAATTTCACAGTCCGTGACTTCAGAAGTAAGTTGAGACTTTAAAAATTTAGCTCTTGTAATGTAACTTTGAAAAGGGACACAGGTGTAGAACTCAATGTTTTTCCTCAAAATACTCAAATTTATATAATATGGAAAGTCACATTGCAAAATTTTATATCTAATGGTAAATTAAATATGTAAACTGCATAGACTGTGTCTAAAGTGGCCAGTTACTGCCACTTACAATGTGGAAAGTTCCCTATGGAATCTAGCAAATGAAAGGCTATCTGGGAAATTGTGTGATTCCTCTTTTAAATGTGGTATTAACTCCACATGCACATTGTTTAGCATGAAAAAAAGGAAGCTTTTTAATAACTGTATTTATTGGAATAATGCCTGGTACAGAACAAGTTAAAAATAGAAGCTTTGCCATTAGAATGATAAAGCTTTCCATTCCAGCTTCCCTGTTACCTAAATAGACACTTTTAATATGTAAAATTACACTAAATAATGCCAGTCACAGTATTTTCATTGAATAAGATAATGTGAGCAAATCTTTAAAACACTCCTAAAATATATTGCTTGCTTGTAAGATTATTTTATCTACTATCCCTGCATTATGTGCACAGTTAAACTACTATTACCAACATCACTATGACCATTGCTAATACTATTTGTGTTATATGTACTAGTCTTTAGAAGCTCTGGTAGCACAGTGCCTTAGGTATCTGACTGCTAACCAGAATATTGGTGGTTCAAACCCACCAGCCACTCCATGGAAGGAAGACTGACTGGGCAATCTACTTCCGTAAAGATTTATTTCCTCGGAAACTGAAGGAGGGCTTGCCATGTGTCAGAATTGACTTGAAGGCAGTTTTTTTT